TGTAAATGTAATTGTGCTAATGTTTGTTTTTCTTCATCAGTTTTATATTCTCGACGTGATTTACGATTATTTTTTTCTTCTAAATTTAATTTACCCATACGAACTTGTCTTAAAATTTGTGGATCATCATATTGATAATAATCATAAAATAGAATTTTTTTTAATTCAAATAATGTAGTATTTTTTGATATATGTCGTGTAGTTTGTAATTGTGATGCATGAACATGTGCATCAGGAAAACCATAGACTATATTTAACATTATTGGTTCGAATTCTTCACCTTGTAGAACTGTATCTGGTAACGTTGATGGATGTTTAAAAACAATAATATGACGATAATTTGAAAGATCATTTTTGTCTAATGTTATGTCATCATTTGAATTTGTTAATTCACTAATTATATGTAATTGACCAGAACGAAGTTTTTTAGCAACATAAAAATGACTTCCCATACCATATATATCCTTAACAAAAAGAACATAATACACTTTTAGACATAACAAAAAAAATTTTTTTTTCTTTGGGAACATTTGTAATTATTAAACGTTGTTCAATACGAAGTACTTCTTAATAGGAACTTGAAATGCTTCAGATCTGTAAAGTCATTGTCGTATTTTAACAATTTACTAAGCCTTGAACGATCTAATCTTTGATAAAATTTGAAGGTAAGTGATAGAAATCGAGTCGGTTCATTTTTTTTCGGATCGCATTGAATTGATTTTGGTTTGATTTGGAATCAGCCGGATCTCATCTCAGTTAAGTGACGTCCGACCCGGTATTTGTTATCTCTAACTTCTGATGAGTACACTTTTAACCGATTACACATATCGATCATGCAGGGGCTAATAATTCCTTGTAAAGTTAACCTGTTCAAGCGATTTTTTGCCTTGTGAGAGATGTTTTATAGTAACAAATTTCTATAGTTTGGAAGAAAATTTTTCAATCATGTAGATCTTGCTCCTAAAGTAATCTGATTAAATATATATACATGAATATGATAATTCCGATTGTAAGGATTTTGAAAAATTCTATTTTAATGAAATGATCTATTCTAACAATTTTTTTGTGAAACATAATGTAAAAGATGCTTCATGCTTCTCCCACAGATCGTAATAGATGCTAATAAAAGATCGTTACAGGCCGTGACAGACACTAATCAAAGACCATCACAAACCGTGACAGACACTAATTAGAGACCATCACAGACTGTGACAGACGCTAGTTGAAGGACATCAGAGACCGTGACAAACGGTAATGAACAATGATTACAGACCGTGATAGACGTTGTTGATATACGATCAAAAACCGTATATCAGTAACATCTTGTTATCATATATGAACTCTTTCCTTAATGCATTTATGATGTTTTAAGGAAAATGATGGTGAAGAAGTGTGTTCTAAAATAGATAGAATAAAACAACCTTCCTGTAATTACCAAGAGCAGCTACATTGTGTTTTACATTTTAATCCTACAGAGATTGCGCTGATAGTGTTTTTTATTATTGAGAATCTGGACGTTTTCTATGAATTATTTAATGGATTGATTTACTGTTTAAATAGGCTAGTACTTATCAAAGTAAATATTGAACAGTTAGAATTTCAGATATAAATATAAAATAGGAAGTTAATACAGGTAACTAATTATTTTCAATTCTTGAAATAAATCTATACCTCAAAATTC